GTTTGTGGAGCGGGGAGAGCAGTGTGACTGCGGCACACCCGAGGTAGGGACGCTCTCCAAGGGCTGGGAAGGAGGCTGGGCAGCAAGGACCTGAGATCTGCCCAGCAGACTGTCCCCTTGTGCTCCTGGTGCTTCTGCCAAGAAGTAACTGGTGGAGGATGTTCGTGTGTGCCCCCCTTCGTGTCACTGGCTGTGGTTTTAGCCTAGGAAAGATGGACATGCCCCCATGTCCTCCAAAGAGGTGATCCAGGAGGGAACATCGGGGCATGTTGTTCTTTCAAGAGCTGTGCTCAGCTGTTCCTCATCCCTACCAACATGTCACAGGATGGGGGTGGAATTCAGACACACAGGCAATGCTTCTGGGATAAATCCCTGGTCACAGCCCTGTGCTGGGACCTGAAGGAATGTCCCCCTGATCCAGAAATGCTCACTTTTTCTCCTTCCTGGAGACGTGCAAAGGGGCCCAGCTCAGGCTCCATCTTCTGAAAAAATCCTTTCCGGTCCTTTGTTTTGGTGTTGGTAATGGGGATAAAGAGGTACAAGGAATGGTCCCCACCAGGGATGTTGTTGTGGTTTTGGCCCGTGGTTCATCCCATGGCAGCTACACTGCTATGCACCTGGTGACATGGCAAACTGGAAGGAAAGGGTCCTTCAGAGGTCTTCCAGGAGGGTTTCAATCCATTCCTGTCTTGCAGGAGTGCTCGGACCGCTGCTGCAATGCCACCACGTGCCAGCTGAGAGAGGGAGCCGAGTGTGCCCGAGGGGAATGCTGCCAGGACTGCAAGGTACAGCCCTCCACAGGGGAGCAGCGTCAGGGTCTGGATCCACGGGGTGCTGGGAGACGTTTCCCAGACCAGGGTGTTGCTGTGCTGTGGTGCCTGGAGAAGTAAGAGCATCCAGGCAGTGCTGGCATCCCTGTTCTCCGTGCAGGTGAAGGCTGCAGGTGCGCTCTGCCGGCCTAGCAAGAACGACTGCGACCTTGCCGAGCACTGCAGCGGGCTCAGCGCCGAGTGCCCGGAGGACGTGTTCCAGGAGAACGGCATCTCCTGCCAGCACGGCAAGGGGTACTGCTACAACGGGGCCTGCCCTTCGCACGGCGAGCAGTGCCGGGCGCTCTGGGGCGCAGGTAGGGCTCCTTCCCTGCCTATCCTCCTGCCCCACCCGCTGAGGGATGTGCCTGGAGCCCCCCCGGGCCCGGCTGTGCTCCCTCCCTGCAGCCCGAGCTGCGGCGCTGCCGATCCTAAAGCGGGCTCCGGCTCCCTGTGACCCTTCCCATGTGTCCCGCAGAGGCGCAGGTGGCTCCTGACATCTGCTTCAAGCACAACAGTGAGCAGCACGTTCACCTGCACTGCCTCACCGAGTACGGCAAGCAGCCCTGCAGCCCCAAGTAAGGACGGGGGGTGCGGGGGATGCCCCAGCCCGGCCGAGCTCCGCCCGCCGGCGCTCACGGCTGCGTGTCCCGCAGGGATGTCAAGTGCGGCACGCTGCTGTGCCTGAGCGACAACACCCAGCCCATCCTCGGCAGCGGCTACTACTCCTTCGGATACCACTTCGGCCGCTTCAAGTGCAAGGCGGTGATCGCGGGCAGCGACGCGGGCGAGGCGGCCGAGCTGCGGCTGGTGCCCACCGGCGCCAAGTGCGGCGAGGAGATGGTGAGAGCCGTGCCGGGGCCGTGCCGGGCCGGGGCAGGGTGAGCGCCGGCCCCGGGGCAGCCTCAGAGCCCCGCTGTCTGCCCCCAGGTCTGCTACGCCGGGCGCTGCCAGAACCTCCTGGTCTACGGCGACAAGAACTGCTCGGCCAAGTGCAACAACCACGGGGTAGGCGCTGGGATCGCCCCTCCCGGAGCTGCTGCGGGCCCGGCGGCTCCGCCACCGCCCTGACGCTCTCCCTCTTCCTCCCAGGTGTGCAACCACAGGCGGGAATGTCACTGCGACCCCGGCTGGGCAGCGCCCTACTGCGAGCAGGAGATCTCAGGGATAGCCACAGGTAGGGTCCCCTGACCCCGACGCGTGTCCCGAGGAGGGAGCCTGGGAAGGGCTGGCACCGGCTGGGAGGGGCTGGCACCGGCTGGGAGGTGCTGCTCCGTCCCCAAGCGCCCGGGTGGATCTCCACAGGGAGCGGCAGCGTGGTGCTGGCGGCCGTGCTGGCCGTGGTGGCCCTGGCCGGCGTCGGGCTGGGCAGCGGCGTGGTGCTCCTCAGAGCCAGGGCGGCGCGGAGCTCCCACAAAGGGTAATAATTCCCGTTTCCGCTGCTCGGGGCTGAGCTCCAGAGGAGCCCGGGGCAGCCCCACATGGTCCCTGTGTCCCACAGCAGCTCCAGCAGGACTCCCTCCGGCCTCGCCAACCCGCTGTTCCAGGAGGGCGGCCGGACGCGGCCGGGCCGCCGGCAGCTGTCCGGCCGGGACATCGGCCAGCCCAGCCTGGTCAGCAGCACGGCGGCCCCGCGGCCGGCCCGGCCCCACAGCCCCGTGTTGACCCTGCAGCCGCCGCCACCCGGCCCGCCGGGGCCACCGAGGTCCCCTCCGGGCTGGCCCCCGCAGGTAACCACCCCTCCCAATGCCCCGACCCGTGCGGGCACATCCGTGGGGTGGCCCACCCTGGTGGCTTTGGGGAGTCCTTCCTCCCCTCCCTGCCCCTCTCCGGGTCCCTCCTGGGTGCCCAGCCGGGTCTCTCCTCCTGCCAGGCGAAGCCGAAGCCGCCCAGCAAACCTCTCCCAGCGCTGAAGAGCAAAGTGCCGAACCACGGCGAGGGGCCGCCGGGACCGGCCCTCCCACCGATCCCCTTTCAGCGCTGTCCCCCGCCAAAGGTGGCCCTGAAGCCGCCCCCAGCCAGGAGGTGACCAAGGATGCTCCATCCGCCACCGGCACAGCTGGGTGGGTGGCACAGCTGGGGAGCCACCGTCTCCCTCCCACCCTTACTTGAATTGCTGGCCGCACCCTCGGACCCTGCCCGGGGTGGGCACCAGTGTTTACAGATCCTCGAGTTGTGCCTTAATGGACTCGGCAGCCTCACGGTTGTCCCAGGGGAAGCCGTCAGCCGGGGCTTCCCAAGGAAACCAGGAGCGGGGACAACGCCAGCTCCGGTTTGGAGGACTGCCTCACATTGGCCCAGGCTCTCCTGCACCCGGAGAGCTGCTGCCTTCTGTCCCGACGTCCTGAATGTGTCCTGCTCCTCCTGCCCTTCCCTGCCGGGGCTGCGGGGAGGAACTCCTGGCATCACCGGGCAGGAAAAGCACTGCTCCGTGGGGACCGTGCCCCAGGAACATCGCCCCGGCTGGGGACATCACACCGGGGGGATGTTGCCAGGGGCTGTGGCAGGTCCAAGCTGGGCTTGGCGTCCCCACAGGGCTTTTATCTCTGGAGTTATTCCTTGACTTTCTGTTCAAAAGGGAAATCCCTGGGAGCCTTTTTTACTGCAGCCATTTATTTATGACCCTTATGAGACCATTTTGAGCCACTTGCTGTAAAACCAGGCCTCCCATTTTTTATATAATTTAGGTTCAACGCTTTTATACCAATAAAGACTGAAGGTAGAGGTGTCATGGGGTGTGTCTGGGCTAGAGGGGACAGCGGGGTGGCAGCAGGCAAGGAGCTGTGCGAGGAGCACGGAAGAGGGAAAAGGGTTGGAGCTGAACTCCCCAGTCCAGTGCCAGAGCCACTGGGCCAAACTGCAGCACATTTTGCCAGCCACGCAGAGCCAGGCTGCCCCAGGATGCTGCAGGGAGTCCCCTCATGCTCAGCACCATCCTGGCCGTGGCCTGCTTTGAGCACAGGCTCCTCACGGGGCTCCCAGGGTGGCAGTCGCTGCAGCTGAGGACATCCACACCATGAAGTGCTGCTGCAGGGGGAGAGGGAGAGGGGTGCCCCACTTCATGTGCCACCAGCCTTAGGACACATAAAGCCATCCAGAAGAATGGTAACAAAATAATTTTATTTTGCTTTATCAAAAGAACTGAACAGTGTGAATGTAAACCTGACCGCATGTATCGTGTTTCCTTAGGGAGATGTGCATCCAGGGGCAGACCCCTTTAGTCACAGGCCCACGCAGGCCGTGGGAGCGGAGAGAAAAGCCAGTTCAATCCCAAAATCCTGGCTGCAGCCATGTCCCTGCTCACAGCTGCGGCTCAGAGGGCAGCACAGCCTACGCCAGGGTGCCAAAGCAGTGGCCACCCCCTCCTGCACACACTGGGGCTGCTGCAGCTGGGCTGGGGAAGCAGGGAGGGGTGGAGGAGGCTGCTGCAGAAGGCACTGGGCATCACAAATGCTGCTGCAGGATCTGGGACCATGGCAGCAGCCCCTGGGGTCCCTCAGACCACGTGGGGAGGTGGCTGATGCCAACAGAGGGACGCTGAGCCAGTGACAGCCACTTAAGGCAAAGTCACGAACCCACCCCGACGGCGCAGGGAGGCACAGCAAGGCTCGGATCCAAAGGGAAGCAGCTCTTCCTGCACTGGCCTGGAAGGCATTCCTGCTCCCTGTCTGGACATCTTGCTCTGATCACTGCAGGAGAGGTGTGAACTGCCTGGTTTGTATTGTCCCAGCAGTTCCCCTCGTGCCCTTGTCACTTCCAGGCTGACAGAACCTACTGGGTCCAGCCATTCCTGATGCCCAGTGTGTCCAACCCCAGTAACACATGAAGAAAATCGCAGAGACTACATCCTTGCCAGCATTCCCTCCAGCATATAAAGCCTGCCCTCATCCCAAAATCCAATCAAAGCAGGTGCTGCTCGAGTGAGGAGAGGCTGTGTCTGTGCCAAGGGCCTGCTGCAACACCGAGGAGGTGGCAGGGCAGAGATGAGACCACACTGCTTCCTCAAAGCCCATCCCACAGGAAAAAACTGCCACATGGAACACACTGCCTCTTCCTCTCTGCCCTGGTGCCCTGGTCCCTGGCTCCTGCCACGGCTGGGTAGGGAGAGGAGCTGGGATCCTGGGGCAGAGCATCAACTGAGCCTTGGGAATTTGCAGGCAGGCAGAGGACAAGAAAGACCACCCAAAACTACTGCAAAGTCCCACAGTTATGTCTTACACCCTGCAGAAGGGGCAGGACCAACACGACCCTGTCCTGCCCCAGCGGTGGAGGAGAGGCAGCCAGGGCAGGAGCAGACACAGCAAGAGGCACCGTGTGTTCCTGAACTTCCCTGTGGAGAGACACTGCCATCCCTGAAGCCCAGCCCACAGACACACACGGCGTGGGGATGCAGCCCTGCAAAGCCCGAGGCCACACACTCCTTCTGGGGACATCACCAGCACAGGTAAAGCTGGTTTGGGTTCAGCGTTTCTCAATGGCAGAAGCTGAACACATCCCTTCCCTTGCCATGAGGCTGCAGATGGAGCCAGGGACAGAAGACCTCAGCAGCTCCAGTGCCTGGAGTGTCAACACACCCCAGCCCCTTCAGGGGTGGCATGGCTGCTCCGAGGGGACAGGACAGCAGGAGGGATGCACGGGGAGAGCAGATGGTCTCTGAACATGCAGCAGGCAGTGCTGGGGTGCTCCCAGCTGGAGAAGAGCATTCCAGCTCTTGGCAGCTGCTTCCCCAGCTGCTGCACCCCGGATCCTCACAGAGCAGGTCATAAAAGCAAGCACATCCTCACAAGCAGAGGGGAGGAAGGAGGAAAAGCACAAAGCAGGTTGTCTCAGCAGATTCCCCCCTCCCCGAGCACCTCTCCCTCACCCTGCCACAGCACATCAGGAGCAGGGCTGGATATATCACAATGCAAATCAGGACAGAAGATCCAGCTGCCAGCAAGCCTGGCCAGGGATGAGAAGACCACGGACACACTCCTTGCCATGGCTGTTCAAGGACATATAAAGCAGGTCCCACTTCCTAGAGCAGTGGACTTTGCATGGAGGAGCAGCAATGCCTCACCTACTTTGCAGCTGAAGTGTCAAACATCTGATCTGCTGCACAGCAGGGTCCTTTCACTCTTCTCTTCCCCTTCACTTTTCCAACATGGCAGAGAAGTGAAAATTCAGTTCCCTTTCCCTGGTCAATGACTTACATGGAGGCTGGAATCTGAGCAAAGACTTGCCAGGCTCTGTTCCCAACCAGCTGCTCCAAGGTGCTCCTGAAATCTGGTTTAAGAGGCAATGAGATTCAGCCACCCAGTGGGAACACCACAGTCAGTCCCAGGCAGCGAGTGCAAGGCTCTTGCTTGGAGAGGGGTGCTGCAGAATCCCTTCAGAGGTTGCTTCCTCCAAGTCGTTACCTAGTGCTGCTGTCTACAGGAATATTATGGCTGTGCAGATCCTACTCCAATAACATATTCCACAGCAAACCACTCCTCACCCTGAGCAGGAACACGCTGGCCAAGGAGAGTCCACTCCACTGGAGTCCTTGAGGAGAGCGAGACAGCGTCAGCAGAAACCTTCACCAAGCAGAGCTTCAGCAGCAGGACGAGGGGAACCTCCTCTTCAGCCAGCCTCAGCCAGGAGTGCTGAGCAATGACCAGTGTGCAGCAACACAGCACTCAAAGCCACATCTCCTTCCTGCAGAGTAATGCCTGCTAAATTACTGCACCTACCCTGGGAGGCTTTCCTGCTGTCTGTCGTTTAATATTCCAGTATAGGTATGTTAGTACAGGATTATCCCTCCATTGGAAGCACCAATTTAACAGGGGGAGAAACGGAAGAGGCAGAGCCCTTGCAATCTGTTGCTAGAAGAAAATCAACCCAAATGCCACCTATACACAAGATGTCCAGCCAGGCATGTGCTGCATCCGCCCCACCAGCACAGGGCCTCGTCCCCGGTCACAGCCGGGCTCGCTGCTGACCTACACCGGGTTCCCTTCTGCCTCCCTCAGCCAGTGCTCTCCTCCCCTCTCAGGGGGCTTTCTGCAGAGGTCTCTGGGGATTCCTGTGCAGGAAGGCTGGTTTCGTGGGCAGTCCTCAGGTTGGCCTGCTGGAAGGCACAGGAATCCAGGAACACGCCGGGGATGCGGTCACCAAAGTACAGCTTGCTGTTGGCAGCTATCGCCTGGTACTTCATCAGCTCCAGATACTCAGGGGTCAGCTTCAGCTACAAACAACAGAAACCAGAGACTCTAAGAGACAACTTTCTGGGCCCTGTGGCATTAGGTTTCATGTCAGGCAGCTGCCTCCTGGGGTGTGGGCTCTTAGATCAAGTGTTTTTTCCAGTGCTGCCCACCTGAAACTGATCTCCTGTGTGGAGGAAAAGAGTGAGTGACCAGCTTCCCAGTGCTCACCTTGTTGGAGTCAGCCAGCTTCCGAGCAGTGTAGTACTCTGCATCAGCTTTTGCCTTCTCCCTTGCCAGGAATGCAGCATCTAACACAGCAGGAGAGCGTGGACAGGAAAGAAAGCATTAGGAAGTGAACAGCCCCATCACACTGAGCACCTGAGCCCTCACGCCATGGGGACCAGCTGACCCAGGAGTGCCCGTGTCTGGCCCTGTACCTGCCCTGCAGCTTCCCAGAGAGTTCCATGCACAGGGCAGGAACGATCCCAGTGCACAGCCTTGCACCAATGAAGCACCCTCGATGACTTGTGCAGGTCTGAGGTTCCTCCACCTGCCACCACCCAGCCCCAGCAGCGTGGTTACCTTCAATCTCAGAAATCCGCTTCTCTGTTTCCTTCTCCATGATCTTCTGTTGGTAGTGAATCCTGGCCACCTGTGCAGCCTTCTCTGCCTCTGCAATCACAACGGGCTCAGCTGGGGAATTTGCTTCTCAGGGCTTGAGCACCAGCACCCTGACTCCAGCACCTGGCTGAAGTCTGCCACACCAGGAGCTGATTCCCGCTCCCTCCCTTCCCATTCAGTGCCACTCTGTACTCCAAGCAGCAGAGTTACAGGCAGAAAACACAATGCTGATGTCTACAGAGCTGACATCCCATTTACAAGTGTGATCCCTCTGGGACAGGGACACTGAAGCTCAAGCAGTTTTTCCAGCAGAGTGATTTCCTCCGTCCCTGCTGCAGGACAGAGGTGCTGTCTGCTCTGCTGCTGTGGGATTTTCACTCAGATGTTCAAAACAACTGCTTTGTGCAGCCTGGCTGCGCCTCCCTCAGGGAGCTGTCAGTGATGAAGACAACATCCTGCCCCAGCTCAGCAGGGAAGGCAGGAATGGAGGCTCAGCCTGTGCTGCTGACATTACCAATGAGTGCTTTCTTCCGGTCTGTCTCTGCCTCCTTCTCCACCACCTTCTGCCTCTGGGCTGCAATCAGCAGCTTGGTCTTCTCAGCCTCCCTGCAAGAGGAGAAGTGTTATCCTGGGGAAAGGGAATGAGGAGCAGCTCTGCATCCCAGGAGAGGCCACAGGGACAAAGGGCCAGCCAGCTGCCAACTCCCTGCTCACAGCTGCGGGGACTGGCTCTGTCTGCAGCTGTATGAGCATGAGCACAAGCCAAAGGAAGGGATCATCCCCCTCTCCAGCTGGCACTGGTGAGGCCACACCTGGATGCAAGTCCAGTCTGAGGTGCTCAGGACGAGGAGCAGGGCAATGTGGGCTGGGAGCTGGGCTTGCTCAACCAAAGGTGAAGTGAGATCCAACAGCATCTCCTTCAGCCCAAAGGCATCCCAGAGATCCTGGAGGGGAGCTTATAGGCAAGACATCAAGACCTCTGAGGCCTGATTTCAGTATGGAAATGGAAAACAGAAGGCACAAGTGCACCTGGCCAAGCACACACTGCTTAGACCTCACCTCTCACTCCCTGAGCACCAGGGAAGAGCTTTCCAATAGCATTTGCAGGACCTGCTTTTGCAGGACCCTCAAAACTAATCAATGCCATTTTATGTCCAGCTACTCACATTAGCTCAAAGTTTCTTCGGATGGCCTCTGGAATTTTGGGTTTTGTAACACGCACAGCCTGTGAAAGAAGAAAAAGGGAGCACATTTTGAATGAAACCTTTTTATACAATCTGAATAACCAAGACATCTCTTCAAAAACCAGCTGCAGTGCTGTGGACAGTGGTGCCTAATCCTCTTGTGTAAGACAGCTGAGCATGGCCAATATCCCAGGTGTGTCCTACATTTCCTGCCATCCATTCCAACCCACACTCCCACCAGACGCAGAGGCTCCAAGCCCTGTCCAACCTGGCCCTGGACACTTCCAGGGATCCAGGGGCAGACACAGCTTCTCTGGGCAACCTGTGCCAGGGCCTCACCACCCTTAGCACAAAACATAGACTTTTTGCCAAAGCCTGCAGTGACAGGACAAGGGACAACAGTTTTAAACTGAAAGATCATTCTCCACCTTTTAAAATCTCTCATTATTGAAAAGCCACAACCCACCTGGATAGTGAGACCTGGTGCCATGACATTGAGGTCTTTCTGCAGGGCCAGTTTCAAGTTCTCATCTATCTGATCTGTGTTTGGAGGACAAAAGAAAGACCAGTTGGTTCATCATATTTTCCCCCACGGCTTGTGTGGCAAAGAGTGAGCTGGCCTTGAGGAGCAGGTAACTCTACAGTGTAAGATAAAGATGCTTCCTGAGACCATTCAGTACATTGATTCCCGACCTATGCCCCCTGAAAAACATTTCCAAAAGGAGAGTCATGTGCTAGCAACTAGAAAATTTCAGCTGCTGATGAATTTCTGTTATCTGAACTAAGTGCAAACGGCTTTCAGCATCTCAGCAAGAAAGAATGCTCAGAGCCTGTGGTAGGAGCCTATCCCTTCTCAGCACTTGGAGTACATTAATATTAAAATTCTGACAACCTTTTATCTTCCATAGGCCGTTTTCCCCCTGCTCAGCCACTCGAGAAGGAACAGAACCTCTTTTGTCTTTGGGGCACAGGTCCAGCAAGGAGAATATGACCTGTGCTAATTCCTGAAGCACTGCTACCTCCCTGTGCAAAACCTTCCAGCTCTCCCTTGTTAGAGACAGCCAGAAGGAAGCTGTGAAAGTACAAAAGTGAATTCAGCAACAGAGCAGGGGATTAAAAGCAGAAGCAGAACAAGACAAATCCGCTGTTACAGTGAAGGCCACAGGCATCACTGCACACACAAGATCAGAGTTCTGCTCTGTGCATTCAGAATAGGTGGGAAAAAACTTAAATCAAATTCCCACGTGCAGATGGGGAAAGACAAAGACACTTAAGTCACTAAAGTTGCAGGGCAAGTGGTTGTGGATGTAAAAGGAGCTGGATTCTACACTGCAACTCCAGAGCAGGGGCAGTGTGGTGCAAGGGGTGGCTGTAAAATATTCCAGGAAGATTCCAGTGGGATCCAAGCTGGGATCACCCAGCTGCCATCCACTTACCAAAGAGCTCGATGTACACCTCCTGCAGGGTATGGGCGCTGCAGAACTGATTCAGCTCGTGGTGGATTTTGTTGAAGATCAAGGTCTTGTCGTAGTCTGCCGTGTAATTCCTCACGATGTCATACACTGGGAAAGGGAGAGAATCACCACAGGTCACCACTGGCACATGCCAGGATGTCAGGGAAGGAGTGCAGCACTGGGACAGGGGTTTTCAGGATCTGGGTGACCAAAGCCACAGCTGCCCTGCCCAGCTGTCAGGGCTGCTGGGATTACACAACTTCAAGGAGCAGTCATGGCAAGATGAACTGCCTGGTCCTGTTTTATCATCTGCATAAACAAATGAAACAGCAAAGTTTCACCAATACCTGCATGCATAGGAACAGGTACTGCTGTGAAGTGAAAACAGGGATCATTCCCACTATTTAAGCCAACCAGATCCTGCATCAAAAGGAGCATGGCCAGCAGGTCAAGGGAGGGGATTCTTTCCCTCTGCTCCTGCTGAGACCCCACCTGGAACCCTGTGCACAGCTCTGGCCCGCTCCCCCCCATATTGGAAGGGCATGGAACTGTTGGAGCAGGTCCAGAGGAGGCCATGGAGTTGCTGAGAGGACTGGAGCACCTTCCCTCTGGAGCCAGGCTGGGAGAGCTGGGGCTGCTCAGCCTGAAGAACGGAGGTTGTGTGGAGACCTCACAGCTCTTTCCAGGGTCTGAAGGGATACAGGGAAACTGGAGAGGGACTCTGCAACAGGAATTGGAGTGCCAGGACAAGGGGGAATGGGTTCAAACTGACAGAGGGGAAAATTAGGTGAGATGTATGGAAGAAATTCTTGGCTGTGAGGATGGAGAGGCCCTGGCACAGGGTGCCCAGAGAAGCTGTGGCTGCCCCTAGATCCCTTGAAGTGCCCAAGGCCAGGTTGGATAGGGTTTGGAGCAGCCTATGATGATGGAAGGTGTCCCTGCCCATGGCAGGGGGTGGAACAAAATGATCTTGAAGGCTCCTTCCAGCTCAAACCCCTCCATGACTCTATGAATTACAACAGGAATTCACCCTCCAGTGCCTCAGCAATGCTGGAGTTTTGCATTAAGCTGTGCTGTTGAACAAAACAAGCTGTGTCTTTGGCTTGGTGAAATAAGAAGCTAACAGGCTCCTACACAGGTTCTGTCTCTGCAATTTTCTCAGGAGTTGAGCTGGAAGCACCTGGGATCAACGCTAAAAGACTGGGAGTCAAAAGGATAACAAGAAATGGAAACAGACAGGGAATGTTTCCTGGCATGGAAAAGGGAAGTCCTGCAAACCAAGACAGAGCTGCCACAGGATGAGTGAAGCCAGTCATAGCTCTGCCTGTTGAACCAGGATGGGAAATACCTGCATATGGGGCCAGCTTATTCACAACTTCTATTCGGTCAATGTAGATCATAACACCACCACTGCAAGGGAAAAGAGAGTTCCTCAGTTACCACTGCAGCTGTTAGCAGTTAACATATTTAAAGCAAAGGTATCTTTATCCCTCTTTTACTATATTCTGATCATTTTGCAATGAGATGGCAGCGAATCCCGTCCCTCTCTCTGCATAAATCACAAGCATGCTCAGCAAGCCTGCAAAGCACTTTCCTTTCCCTTTGTGATTTCCTACTCAACCAGCCAAAGGAAAATGTTTCTGAACAGGAATGCAGCTGCAGCTATCAGGAAAGCAGAGGGCAAGGCAGAAAGACAGCAGATGACACCTGCCACAAAATGCAGATGCACCTCAGCTCTTCTAGGCAGCAGCACATGTTAAATAGAAAAACCCCTTCGTTTAATTCACACAGTCACTGACTCCAGCAGGAAGCTTGGCAAGCCCAGCAGAAAGGAAGGAACAAAGCACATGGCAGACTTCATTCAATCCACATTCCCAGCTCCAGTGTCACGGTGCACATGGCTCTCCAGGAGCACCACGAGCACCTCAGCAGAGGGAGCCAGCAGGCAATCACCTCCCCGAGGGAGGATGTGCTGCCACACAGGCAGGGAGGAAAAAGGAGGAATCAGAGGTCAGGCTTGACCCCAGCCTCTGCTCTTACTGGTGTGGCTTTCAGAAATTCATGCCCACCCCTGGGTACCTGTAACACCAGAGAAAAGCACAAACTCTACAGTGAAGAAAAAACCCTTAACTTCCAACAGCTGTAAGTCTCTTGAGAGCCTAATTTTGAAGCAGAATACTCTTGTGACAATGTCCTTGGGACAAAGGCATATCACAGACCAGAAGTTTCAGCAGGAACTGTTTAGAGACAGCTCATTCCTGGCAGTGGAACTCCCACATTTCCAAACTCAGTCTCTCTGATGTTTTAACTCAAACATATCCCTCACTACATACTCCATTTTTTATTTTGCAGATCTTGATCTCTGGCAGGTCAAAGCCAAGTCTGCAGAAAAACAACCTGAACTTGCCTGTGTCTGTGCTCTTTTGGAAAAGGCCTCCCAAGCCCAGCCCGTGTGTAGTAGTTTAGATTTGCTGATTTCAATAAACTTATTTTCTGCTGTGAGATAGGATTAGGAGCAAAAGCAAGGTAGGCTTAAAAACTTAAAAGATGTAAAGAAAAACTTTATTAACAACATAAATAAATAATTAAAACAGAATAAAACATTGAGACCACTTGCTCCAAACCCGCTTCATGACAACTATGAGCTGGTTGATGGATGGACCTTACCTGCTGCAAATATGACACTTCAATTTTAAAGAGATGTTAGAAATAAAAAGAGAGTGTCTGCAACACCCTGGATCCTATCAGGACTCATCCACAGCCCCATGTCACCTCCCTGGCAGGAAAGGGTCTGAAAGGGTCCTCAGACCAGTGAGGACTATCTGACTCTACCATCACCTTCCACAACAACCCTGCTGAGGATCTCAGTCAGTCTGGGACAATAAGTGGGATATTATCCACTGTTATTCCATTATTATGAATAATTCATAAGTGTTCATGTGGTGTAGCAGGGGAAAAGTAAATTTTATCAGTCCTGCTGGTCATGCAACGGCTTTGAGGAAACAGGTGCCACTCAGACCCCCAAAGTTCGCAAGGGGAGAGGAACAAGGAGAAATCCAAGTTGAAAGGAGAAATCCATAAAAGGAGGATCAACAAGTTTAAGCACAACTAGGCAGTAGTGCTGCCTGACCTGACAGGACAAGGAGACAACATTCAAAGAATGCCACAGGAGATGGACACAGGTAGCACAAACACCCTAGAAAGCCTCAGACAATTCAGGATATAACTCAGGATTTAAAGTCTCTATTTAATGTATTCACTTAATGCTGCCAGGTACAAACAGGATAGGTAAGGCAAAAATTGGGAAGGGACACCCACACAGACACTCAGAAGCTTCCTGATATAGATAAGAACACAGGGAACAGGAATATAAAGATGATGGAAGAGAAACCCAGCCTTTAAAATCTAATGGTTTAATCAGTAAATACAAAACCTTGAAGTGTTTAGGATCTATTCTGGTAGAAGACTTTGAATTAGCACAGTGACACTCCAGGTGTGTTCCATTTGTTATTTATAAGCTCATGTTTTCCTATGGAAATTTGGATGCAAAGCTTTGGCATCGAGCAGCCGCAGACTTTGGATTCCAAACGCAGTGAACTGAAAGGCTCCTGCAGTAACACCTGAAAAGTGGTCAGGGCTACTGGGACCTTTGGTCAGGAGTGTATTCAATTATTAACTGAGAACTGCTTTCACCAGCTGCCTGGTAGTTTAAAGCCCATTTTTACTGCCTGTACCTTCCCAAACACCTGCATTGCACAACTGAACCTCACAACGCTGAAATTCAACAGGAACTTAATTCTGAGCTCTTGAATCATAGAAGTACAGAATGGTTGAGGCTGGCTTTGGCCTCAAACTTTGACATTTAGCTTGGCCTAGAAACTGTTTACCTCACCAAAAAAGGACTCTGGACAAGGCCCTGAAGTGACAGGACAAGGGGGGATGGGTTCAAACTGACAGAGGGGAAATTTAGGTGACATACATAGAAGAAATTTCTGGCTGCGAGGGTGGAGAGGCCCTGGCACAGGGTGCCCAGAGAAGCTGTGGCTGCCCCTGGATCCCCAAGGCCAGGCTGGATGGGGCTTGGAGCAACCTGGAATAGTGGAAGGTGTCCCTGCCCATGGCAGGGGGGGGCACTGGATGGGCTTTAAGGTCCCTTCCAACCCAAACCATTCTGTGAAAGCTGCAGCACTGAACACTAACATTATTTACAGATACTCCTGAAAAACCTTTAAGAGCTAAAATTAAAACCATGAAACCTTTATGGTAATATTTAAACCCAAGCAATGTCTGATGCTGAACAACTCCAAGGAAGTTAATATGGCTTAAACCTGATCAAAATTAACTCTGTTTTATTAACGTTGCCACTAACATTCACCTTTTTATTTCAATGTGGACATTGTGTGTCACCACTGACTTATTTTTTGAAACAGAAATTTTGTTGAGGACCCTGAATGCAAAAGACAAGGAGAATCTCCAGGTTTTTTTTACCCTGAAGAGTCATCACTTTAAATTGTAGATGAACGAACACAACAGGATCTGTAACCCAACTCAACCAGCCCTCTCCTCCTGCTTGTTAAAACTCAAGCAGGTCTGTGCTGATAGAGGAATCAGACTAATTATGCAGCAGGAATTTCACTGGGAAACGAACTGCCTCTCATCAGGAGGATTCCCATTCCCTGTTTACTTCTGCCGCTGCTGGGGTCAGCACTTGTATCAGCCACAAGACTCAGAGTGGAAATAATCAGTCTGAGGGCAGAGCAAAGCATAAACAACAGGGAGTCAGAGTGACTGTGGGGAGAAAAATTCAAGATAACATCACAATAAATGTAAACATCCTCTGAACAGCAACTCTAGCAAGAGTTAGTGTTCCCTCCTGTGCCTCCTGTTCTGTTATAGTGGGGCAGATGTGTGTACATCTGGGATTAATTTTATGGTAGGTGCCTTTACTTCCCAGTCAGTCCCTGTGTCCCAGCACTGCAAAGGACCCCCCAGAGTGCATCTAGAAGAAATACAAATGGAAGCCATACCTTGTCCCACAAGGCACATTCTTCACTTCATCAGTCTGCAGCGTGGTCTGCAACACAAACACAGCCAGCGCTCACAAACCACTCCCTTCTCCGGGAAAGCCCTGCTGTGCCCAGACTCCCACAGTGGGAACACAGAGCCAGAAGTGTGTTCTCTGCCTCCCTTATGATGCCTGCAGGTGTGGGCAGAAGGCAAAGCTTCTCCTCACCTGCCTTTTGAGGGATGCACAGGCAGCTGTGGCTGTTCCCCTGCTCCAGGCACGCTCCTGGGAAACAGTGACAGCCACAAACACAGACTGTCCCCCTTGAGTGGGACACTGCCAGTCCCAGTGGTGGGGAGAGCTTTCCAAGAGGACAAATCCTGGCTGCCCAGGGGAGAGAGAGGGCACTGACCTGCACGGATTTGAAGGTGGTGATGAAAGGGAGCATGATATGGTAGCCAGGGCCACTCGGGCTGGTCAGCAACGCGCCGCCCCTGCGGAGAGGGAGCAAAACAGGGAATGCTCAGGAAGGTGGGAAACAGCAAGGACTGGCTTTGAGGATAAACAGGGACAGCTCAAACTACCAGGGATGGCAGGGAATTGCATCAGTGCCTTAAATTTGCTAGCAATTCCCCAACAAAAGGGCTGAGTGCACCTGACCTTTGCCTGCTGCAACTTTGCGTGAGGCCTGTGAGCCATTAACTCTTGGAGCACGCAGCTATTGCCAAACCCTCCCAGCATTGCAACACTGCACAGAGCTGCAAGAACGCAGCTTTTTCCTCTCTAAATAGTTCGCTGGTAACCATGGAAAAATCCAGCCGTGGATGTGAGGCTGCCAGTTTGGATTTCGGCACAGCCCCTCGCCCAAAGCACAAAGAAAAATCCCCCAGGCTCTCCTGCTCAACATGCTTGTGGTGAAAGGGAAACAGCCCACGGCGCTGAGTGGGAAGGACAGGGAAAACATTCCAAAGCACCGACACAGCGGGAGCTCTGGCTGGGAAACAGTTTGGGACAAAGGTGACGGCTCTTGCTGGCACAGGGAGAGATCGACAGATGTGAGAAGGCAGGACAGACTCAGAGCTTCGGTCCTCTAAGCTCTGAAATCTAGCTTGTGAAAAGGGCGGGGAGGAAGGAGAGGCAGGAAAAGCAGTTGAGGATTCAGAGACCCAAACACACAAGGGTTCTGCACGGGGCCAGGGTGTCTGGGATTCACCAGCACGGGTGGAAGGGAGCAGAAACAAGAAGGGCCGCCCACCCAGGGGGAAAAAACCGGAGGGAAGCGCAGGATAGCACAATCCCTGGGGCCAGGGATGAATCCCAGCTCCGGAAAGGCTCTCGGGAGCACCGTACCTGTAGTACACGGCCAGGTGTCCCTCCTCGACCCTGTGGATGGCGGAGTACAGCAGGAAGACGAGGAGCCCCGTGGCAGCCGCGGCCGCGGCCCCCGCCTGGGCCATGGCCATGCTCGCATCCCCTCCCGGCGCCGGGGGCTCCGCGGGCCCTGCCCTGCCACAGCAACACCGTCAGCGCCGGGCGGGACCGCCCCGGCACCGCCCCCGAGAGCAGGGAGACACCCGCGACAAACGGGCCGGGCCGGGATGGGGACACGGCCGGGGTAGGGGTAGGACCCGGCCGCGGAGGGCGGGACCGCCCGCCCCGCACTGGGGGCTGCGCCGGAGGGAGCTCCCGCCCCAGCCCGGCCCCGTGGAGACCTCTCCCCGTCACTGCCCGGCCCCGGCCCCCACCGCTCCCTAGTCCTATGCCCGTGCCCTCCCTATCCCGTCCATATCCCGTCCCGATCCTGTACCTGCCCCTATCCCTACCCCGTCCCAATCCCTATCTCGGCCCCTATCCTGCACCTGTCCCCTAGCTATCCCTATCCGTTATCTTTATCCCTATCCCTATCCCTATCCCTATCCCGTACCTGTCCCGATCCCCACGTGCTGCCGAGGCCGCGCTCCCGCCCCCGCCGCGCAGGCGCCGCGGGCGCGCGGCACCATGGGCGCGCCACGGCGGCGTGGAATGATGACGTCACCGCAGCGCACCGGAGAGTTCCCCCGTTGCCAAGCAACGGCGTGCTGGCGATGGCGGCGCGGCAGCGAGCAGGGCTCAGTGTATGTATGTGTGTGTCTCAGCACAGAGTTTATTATATATACACGCGCTATACATTCATGGGACACACGGCAGCAGCGGGCCGTGCCTGCGCCCCCCCGTCCCGAGGAGGCTCCACGGGCCGAGCCCAGGCCGCTCCCTGGGGGGACAGCTGGTGATATCCACAGAACGCCGCTGTGTCCCACAGGGAAAGCGGCCGAGCCCGTGCTCAGCACACGGAAGGCACGTAGGTGATGCAGCACCTTGGCTCGTGGGGCTACTTGAGCCAGCTCCAGTCAAAACTCTGCAAAAAAGTAGCAAAAAAACAACTGAGCACAGGGTCTGGCTACTTGATGTGTGTCTTGTTTGATGAAAAATCAGTAATAGCCCTTAGAAAGGATGCTCTCAGGAGTTAACACAATGCAGCACAGCACAGCTGCCGGACTCACTGAGCCCTCTGAGTCCATTCTAGCTTAGGAAATCATGGGATTTTCCAAACTGGTAGTCAAAGGATAAGTGCCTCCTCTCTCCTCTGAGGAAAAGCTGAGAGAATTGGGATTGTTCAGCCTGAAGAAGAGAAACCTCAGAATGACCTAACTGTGGCCTTCCAGTGTCTGAAGGGGCTACAGGAAAGATTGAAAGAGACTATTCCCATGGGCCTGGAGTGCCAGGACAAGTGGGAATGGCTTCACACTGCCACAGGGCAGCACTAGATGGGATTTTGGGAAGAAATTTGTAACCATGCACACTGGCACAGGCTGCCCAGAGAAGCTGTAGCTGTCCCTGAATCCCCGGAGGTGTCCAAGGCCAGGCTGCACGGGGCTTGGTACCTGGTACCTTTTCCTATTGAAGGAGTTCTCACGTCCCCAGGGCACCCTTGGGTGTCCCCCAAAAGCCAGGTCCTGGCAAATGCACCAGCACTTACCATCATGCTGTTCTGCTCCTGCCTCACCTCCTGCAGAATGCTGCTGAAGAGCTCGAGGTAATTCACATTCTCCCTGATCACGTCAGCAAAATTTTCTCTGCAGGAAGAAAAAAGCCCTAAGGTGATGAATTTCAAGCACCAAAAGTAACAACCCCATCAAAAGGTGCTGCATGGTGGGGAGAGAAAAAAAAAAAAAAAAAAAAAAAAATCAAACCAAATCCAAAACTAAACAACCCAAAAAAGTGATTTGTAGTTTGTACAATGTGTTGGCACAGTCCTATAGCAGTGCATGTAGCATGTGGAACTGGCTCAGAAACAGAGAGCAGAAGTTTCTGAATAGAGAATTCAACCAAATCCCTGATTTTTTAGAGCATTATTGACACATGAACTCCCAAAACTTGTCTGGGAAGGATAAAGGCCCTGAGATACTGAACCAGCCACGCTGAGCTCCCTGCAGTGGCTCCTCCCCCAGCAGCTCATACCCATCTTCAGCAGCTGCCAGCGAGGACAGAGGGTGAGGAGCTGCGTTCCCTGAGGAGCTGTGGAGGGGCCACGTGGCTGCTGGAGACGAGGCTGTCCCTTCCAGGCTAGAGCTGACCAGCGATCGAGACGAGCTCTGAGTCTGGAACAAAGAAATTCAGAAGAATTTAGGCTTAAATGTTACCTAGGCAAGATCTGGGATTACACATGAGCACTGTTGGTAACACAGACTCAAATGTGGGAACCAGGAGATGGCTTCAGGCACCGTAATTCATGCAAAAAAAGCAGAGTACTCTTTAAAACACTTCAAACTAACTAGGAAAGCACCTCTTTAACTTCTGCTTTTACCATCTCAGACTGCCCTTCTCTGCAGGGAAAAAAAAACAACCATGGTGTGGCAGTTACCCCGTTTTGCTGACTTTATTTTGATGCCTCCTGGCTCATGCACTGGAAGGAAGTGCAAACAAATAGCCCAACAGCTACTCACACAAGCAATTTTCAGCAAATGCCATATCTCCCTTTGTCTTTTTCCCTGCATCTGCATCACTGAGTTGTCAGCTTCCTTGATGTTATTTAGAGCCACTTCAATCTCGGGGAGCAGGTCAATGATCTTCTGCTTGCAGCCCAAGAGCTTGCTAGAACAAAAACCAAACAGAAACTCACTTCCCAGCACATTCTGACAAGACCAGAAGCCCCACCTTGGGATTCAAGATACTCAAAAAATGATTGTACAAATCCCTGTGGTATCTCCTCCACTCTGTAACACTACTACATTTTTGCTTGAAGATTTGAATTCCAACTTCCAACTGGCAGATTTTGCCTCATTTTAAAGTGAACTCTTGGATGCTAACAGTCATGTTTTTAAAAATTAAGTGGAAACTCAGCACAGACACAGAGAAGCAGAATTAATGCTATGAGAAATGCGGGTGGAGCTTTTTGGGCTCTGACCTCCATGGTTTTCCCTATCCTTTCCTGCTACAAAACTCCAAATGCTGCAAGTTGGATTTGTTTGGGCTTTTTGTCTGCATAAAGTACCTGAGGTGGCCGAAGAGCTCCTTGAGGACTCGGTCCTGGCTCTGTACTGTCTGCACAATGATCTTCACCATGTCTGTGCTATCACTGTAGGCATGATCTGGAAGGGCCAGCAACCATCACGTTAGTAAATCCTAACAGTATTTTCTAGGTTTCAGTTCAGAACAATTAATCATGGGGTAAAAATGTGAAACAATCTTTAAATCATTTTTCCATACCTGGAGGTCGTGTTTTTAATTGCTTGTACAGGTCTATAGCTCTCTGTTCCCTTTAAAAAGAAGAATATGACTCAGGTAAATGTCAGCAGCCAGGTGACTCAAGAAAAAAAGCATTGCAGTAAAGGGATGCCTTTCTGAACTCAGACACTGGATCATCTTCTACAGCTGGTACACAAGCATGGCCTTAGGGACACAGGGATGCTCTTTCTGGGATGGAATTCAACACTTTCCCAAAAGCTATCTCTCTTTTTCTCCAATTATGCAATTTCTCCTCAGAAAACCACACCAAGTGGAGCTTATTTTCAGTTTCAAATTTTCACACGCCTCAGCTGTGTTTTCTTTTCCCTGTATCCTTAATTATCTCATTTTATTTTTGAAACTGACTGCACAACTGCCTGAGAAATTCTTGTTTCTGTTCTGCATTTTTTTTGCCTGAATTTAGTGATATTCTGTAAATGGAAAGAGACAGCTGCATCACAAGCAAGACGACTGTGCTTCTCTTTTTCCATTAAATAAACATTACTTCTTTCAAGTATTTCAAGAGCAGCCAAACTGAAAACTTCGAGCCTTTAACAAAATCCTCCATGTTCTAAATCCCAGTCTGTCAGAAATAAGCAGCAGTTTCCCAGCTCTGACCCTGGTCTGCAGTGGTGGAAATGCTTAAAATAATGTTTAAGGAGGCATGTTCCTGATTAGTTTGAGGTTCTGCTGCAGGAGGTGGCTTCTCCTTTGCACCACTTCCTCCCCTGTGCACCAGTTCTGCTGCAACTACACAGGATGAAAAGCAACTTAGCAAAGAGGGAGGGGAGAGAACATGCCAGGAGCAGGCACATTTCCTCCCTGAACAGTCAGACTTGTTCTGAGGAGCTCTTATTAAAAGATTTAATGGCTGTTCAATCTCTCTCTTTTAGAATTGCCACTTGTGCTCTCAGCAGCAGCTCAGTAACTTCCTACGTCTTCTCAAGATCAGAAATACCATTTAGTTCTTTCATATTTTAATACTTTAAAAAAAAAAAAATCAACTTTCCAAATATTCAAGTACCCATTAGATATTTACCCTTGATTAGAAAATACTGAAGGTATTTAATAGGATTTTACCATGATCACATCGTTTTCTCACTCAACAGTAAGGAAGTCACTCCTCTCCAACACAAAATGAAATCCTCAGCTGAGACCAAGATTTATCTTAGTCCTGGGCTCTTGTGAGATGAGGTTCCATAGTTCAGTGACAGGAAGTGTCCCACAGGTGGTGGGATCTTTCACATGCAAAATTTTCTCAAATCAACCATACACTACTCTGTACTTGCAGTTTGTGTTTCAAAATCGCCGAGGGAGCCAGCAACAGGGGGGGAAAAACCCCTCAGACAGTGAAATACACAAAATCCAATTATATGCAGTAAAAATGAGAAGCACAGGACTTACAAGCTCTCCATCACCTCTCCCTGGCGCCTTGCATATGGACTCTTCTGCAGCTCCACAATTTCAGTGTGCAGAGCCATGATCTGCTCATCCAGGTAGCCAATATCTTCAGCCTGAGGTGAAATGGGGGCAGAGATCAGACTGAAGAAGAGAATCAAGGAGATAAAGATCCCCAGAACACTTGTATGGATAATGGATGACTGCCTGGAGAGTTCAGGAGCCAAAAAGCTCTTGACACAACGCTGCTACAATAACTGAGGTTTTTGTTCTCAGTGCATGGTATCGCCTACAGCCAAAC